GGGATGTGATGACAGTTATCAGCTGTGTTAAAGGAAGAGTTCAGTCTCTTCAAGAAGCCTATCTGATTAACTCTGAGAGTCATGTTAATCCATCTGAGAGAGTGTAACACTTTTAGGAGGGCTTAAAGCTCTGAAAGCGCTGATGTAAACCAGTGATATATATTCAAATACAGTACATTCACCTACTCACTCGAGCTGAACCCATGTACAGGGGCAGTACTGGGTCCCTTTCACACAGGCACTACAACCCGCAGGAGCAAATGTCTGAATCAGTTGCACGGGACATTAAAAGGCCTGCCGGCGCCCCAGTACAGAGTCTGTGTAATGTCCGAGTGAGCCCATGTGTGAATAGAGCAGGTCGTTGTCTGGAGCAAGCGAGTGGGCGTGCTAGTGACAGAGTTTAGGTCCACACTGCCCATGTGAGCAGAGTGTGACAGTTACCTCGCTGAGCGGCTGTGGCTCGCATGCCTGGGGTGGCACACAGAGAGCACTTCTGCTGCTGCACTGTTGCTGCCTTTCTACACAGAGTTAAAAGCCTTGTTAACAAATGAATGGACTGTGTCCATAGGCTCAAAAATCTTTAATATTAAACTGATACAGGAGGTGTTGAGTCATGCCTGTGACTTGTTCCGATAAAGGCATTGAAACTCTAGTGGAAGTAGTAGTGTGTATGTTGCTTGTATGATGTCTATATGACTATAAAAAGTTAATTCTCACTGTATTTTAGCTGGGAAAAGATAGAAGCATGGCTCATGTGGGCAGTGTGGCTGCTCTAACCTGTTAACATGGGCACCGAAATAAAAGACGTTCTGTCATGTCAGGCAGTGTGGACTGGCCTGCTTCGTACTCTTTCATGCTTGCCTGTATAGTGCTTTCCACTCTTCTTTGTGAAATATAACAGTTTTAGACAACCACACTACCCCAAACCCTAACCCAACCACGCTTGGATAACCCTAAGCTCGGCACCGGAAGGCAGGTGGGTTTTAAACAAGTTAAACATTATAATGTTCAAGACCAGTCGGTGTAGTCGGTTCTGTTCTTTAACATTCTCAGAAAGACAATCCGACAATCTCGCCCACATTCCGCAATAACTGGCCAGGTGTGCGGAGGTGTGAAAGTAGGCCAGCTTTCAACATCTTTCACACAACCACTTCTGTCCGCTTTTATGTGTAAAATTGAGTGCAACACCCTGAGTTTCTTTGAGAAGACACTGTCCTCTGTTCAACAATTCACTGCGTCAGAACTATAGAGACAAACAAAAGAATTGTTGAGAAGAGATCAGGACGCCTTATGACGTGGTGACGCCATTAAGCTCCTTCGCTTAAGAGATTCAAGAGAATGGCGGCGAATATAAATCCAGCACCTTCATGCTTAAAAGCAGATGTGTGGGAGCACTTTGGGTTTAAAAAGAAGAAGGAAAGCGACAATTTGGATAAAAGTCTGGTGTTTTGCAAGCTGAGCCCACCTAAAACGTCACCACCCGGACAAGGTAATGCTAACTGAGGAACCCAAGAAGCTGCGGCGTGACCCAAAACAAACCATGCTGGATAGCGATGGCGGTTGTTCCCACAAGTGCCAATATAATACAATATAATAAGAAAATGATGTAAGTGTATCGAATCGTATCGTTGGCTGAATATCGTGATATATATCATATCGTGAGCTGAATATCGTGTATTGTATCGTATCGTGAGATTAGTGTAACTACAGCCCTAGTTGGCAGATGTTACTCAACAGTATTTGTAACTGGAAGTATTTAAATAGATAGTGGCAACACATTTTAGGATTTTTTGCTACTAGTAATGCGTATCAGCAACCAAAGTACTGATGCAAACCCTTCTTTAAACTGAATACTCTTGGCGAGACCGGCCTCCCAACGAAACTGATAGCATCAATCATTTGTTTAAATACCTGATACAGCCTATGTTTACGTGCAACCTCTAGTGACAATGTGACTTCTGACATTTGTCTGTCAGACAAAGGGTCAACAAAGCATGGCATTGACACTGGATGCCAGCATTCTTTTCCTGTTTGCTAACAGGCAACCTTAGTTCCTTTTTTCTAGGGCTGCCCCTGACTAAAGATTTTCCCAGTCGACCGGTAGTTAATGATGGGGTCAGCTAATAGGGCTGCTAACTAGCTAGTGGCAGCAGCTAGTACAGATAGCATATGCAACAGTGCACTGGTAAGTGACTCCCTATGTTACACAAGAAAAGGTCCATGTTGCAACAATCCCCTGATACTTTGATCCCAGGGACAAAGTGCAGCTCCAGAACAGATTTTAATGTTGTTTTTGTTTTTCTGCGACTATCTGACTAATGAATAGTGGGTTGATTAAGACTCTTCTTTGACTAACAGTTATGTTGACTAATAAGGGGCAGCCCTACTTTTTTCATTCTTCATAACCAAGATGGTTATCACCTTCCACCAGATCAGCCAATAGGGAAATTCAAATGCAGTACCAACCGGCCAGTAGGGGGCTGTGCACAGCAAAATATGTAGAGTTTAAATACTTGCACTAAATATTTATACCTGATTCCAACAACACTAGTCAATATACGTTGGTTTTCAAGTGAAAATAGTGGTTTAGGGCTTTAGTTACTTTTTAAGGAAGTAAGGATGGCCTGCAGCCAGTCTGTGGGATTAACTAAACTCAATGGATTTACCTCCAATTATGTAGCCAGGCTGTGGCCATGTCTGAGGCCAGCTAATCCTGACCATTAGCAAAGCTAATTAAGAATTACACAGACACTGCACTGTACTGTGTTTCTCTACTTTTCTGTCCTTTTCTTAAACAAAATAGTATTGGCTGTTAGTGTGCATCCTCCTGCCTACCACACATCATCACATATCACCGATACAGCACTGACACTCGTCTAGGCTATATATACTAGGGGAACAGGCTGTTCAGCTGAGCCTAAAACTAAATACATTTTAAATCTGAATGTGTACTTCATTGTTTGAAAATACGTATTGCATTATGTTTTAATTGGCAGGAATCAAAGTCTTTGAATGTTACAGTGGGTTAGTTCACCTACTGGCAGCTCTGGATAGCAACAAAAAGCAACTATTTAAAAAAACAGCTTGAACTTCGTAAATCCTGTGAGGTGATGAGGTAAACTGCACACATCCCTGCCAGTCTTTGATGCTTTATACCAAAGGATAAAAAAGAGATGAGAGAAGCAAAAGATCTAAAAGTTGGCAAATCCAGCTTTTTCTGGACACACAGTTTGTATTTCACTCAAGTTGTGATTCATAACTTCGACACGACACCAACATTTAATCTGGGCATACAGATTGAATGTCAGTTAGTGAGGACGGGACACCCTCTTCTGCTGTGCTCACACTTACTGGTTTAGATGTTTTACACAAAGATGTTCCAATTTAAATTGGTAAAAGACACTGGACAAAAACATCTGGGATCAATGAATCTCAACCTAAACAGTGTGTTGCCGTACCTCGTGGATGAAGTCTCCTATGTCTCCTGGGTGTGGGGCGGCAGAGCGGAGGGGGTACTGGTGGTCATGATGGAGGGGCCTCTCATCCAGACGTCTGATCCCCACCTTGACACACTCTGTCTCCAGGGCGTCAGGCTGCTGCAGCTGACTCAGATCGTAGTCCTATCACACACACACACACACACACACACACACACACACACACACAGTAAGTCAGTTTTATTTATACGGCCCAATATCACAAATCACAAATCTCCCTTAAAGAGGCTTAACAGTCTGTACAGCACGCCCTCTTTCCTTACAACCTCAATTAATTGTAAGGACATTCCATTGACTACAAATCCACAACACTGTTCTTAAATCACATGACCGTCAGGGCCCGGATCTCAGATCATGATGTTTTCTGAAGGGAATGGAATGGAAACACTCTTCCTGTTGGTGTGAAAAAGAATTAATAATAATGATTGTGGAAAAACAAATGATTTCTGGTTAATATCTGTTAGGTGAAGCCTACAAACAATATTAAGAGTCTACAGCCACGCTAACAGCTCTGTGAGGCTGTACGTCACAACAGCTAACAGCCAACGTGCTCACAGTAACAATGTTAGCATGCTGATGTTTAGAACGTATTTACCATGTTCACCATTGTTACACAACTTGTTGAGTTGTCGATAGATTACACAGAAACATGGTGGATGAAAGTAAGTGGATTTAATGATTGATTTTGCCCACATTTAATTTGTAATATGGTATTGGTTTGTAACTATTAGTTGTTGTTCATGTTCAATGTTTTTCAAATGGTGGTACCCCTAGGGGTACTTTGGAGTATTGCAGGGGATACTTGACATTTAAAACAAAATGCATACTCTAAGTTTAATAAAAATAAAATAAAATAAAAACCCCACATTTTATATTGAATGTTTCCATTTTCAATGCACATGCTGTAAACTGTAAACTGCAGTAAAATCTGGAAAAGAGTTCACTGATCACTGCTGTACGGTGGCCCAGAGGTGTCAGGCCGAATACAAAAGCCACAACACAAATACAAACAAAGTCCAACACAGAAACAAAACCGCACACACAAACACAAAAGCCACAAACACAAATACAAACAGCCGGAAATGAAAGTACAACGAAGTCAAACACAACGGAAGTCAAACTAACAACGGAAGCAAACTACAGTACGAAGCAAACTAACAACGAAGTCAAACACAACGGAAGTGATCCACAGCAGGAAATGATCCACAGCCACAGACCACAAGGAACGGAAATGAACGGTACGGTCAAATGTGACAATGAGGGCGGATGGTTGCTGGCGACTAATTCATAGAAATGAACCCGAACGGTGTTTAGCGCCGGTGTCGGGACCGAAAAGACTTCGAGCTTGGCGGCTGTCTTCTTCTATGAAATAGTCCGCCAGCAACAAGTCCGCCTCATTGTCACATCCGATACCGTTCATATTTCGTTGTGGATCACTCGTGTAGTTTGACTTCGGTTGTCAAGTTTTATTTCCGTGTGGCTATTGTTGTGGCGGCTGTGGCTCAGAGGGCAGAGCGGGTCGTCCCCAATCAGAAAGGTTGGTGGTTTGATCCCGGCTCCTCCGCCACGTGTCGAAATATCCTTGAGCAAGAATACTGAACCCAAATTGCTCCCGAATGCATAGATCAGTGTGTGAATTTATGATGGGTTAGTTCTGTTCGATGGAATTTGCCGTTAATGTGTGTGAATAGGGTGAATGTGAGCACTTTAGTGTAAAAGCGCTTTGAGTGTCGGAAGACTAGTAAGGCGCTATAGCAAGTACAGGTCATTACCACATATTTGTGTTGTGCTTTGATTCGTGTTGTGCTTTGTATTCGTGTTGTGGCCATTTGTATTCGTTGTGTGTGGCTTATGTATTTCGTGTTGGCCTTTGTATTTCGTGTTGTGGCTTTGTATTCGGTGTGGCCTTTGTATTCGTGTTGTGGCGACTTATTCGTGTTGTGGCTTTTGTGACACCTCTGGGCCACCGTACTGCTGTTTCCTCCCTGCCACATTAAAAGAAAGAAAAAGATCCTCTGTAAAGTACAAGTTCATGAATCTCACTACATTTTAACAGCAACTTATCAAAATGCAGTAAATGCAATTTCAATGTTGTCTTAGTGTTATTGCATCATGACCAAAAAAACACACTTGCCATTTGCTACATTCCAAACACTGAAATGTAGCATTTGTGCTTTCCTTAATAAATCAGACACTGATAGGGCAGACCTGTATTGTACCTCTTTATATAAGCTTTTGGTCAGGGGGTATTTGGCTAAAAAAAAATGTCAAAGGGGGAGCATTAATGCAAAAGGTTTTAGAAGCACAGAGAGTGACCTGTCTTAGTTAGAAAAGTTATTTATTAGCATTAACTCTAATAACAGGTCAGGTAAAGCAATATTTTAGTGGTTTTAGGAAAGTCAACAAGTTCAGCAAGTCTTGGACAAAATCATAGTGTTTGGTTTGTCCATTCTGGGCTACTGTAGAAACACACCGGTTCAACATGACTCCACAGAAGAGGACCTGTAGATAAAAACCCTAACCCTTCAAGCTAAATGAGAAAATAAGTTCTTGGCTCGAACCATATTACCGAACCCTAACTAACCTACCTACAAATATACAATAATGCCTTCTTCCTAATGCCAGGTGCACTGCATGCCTCTGGCTATAAAAATAGCACAGGTGCTCATAATTAACTTGACTGATTCATGAAAGTAGCAGTCTTGCAAGAACATATACATACACTTACAATAGATTGACCTATCACTACCTTTATGTTCCAGCTGTATTTAACACACACAACATGCAGAGAGAATTTCAGTGAGTCGAATGGGCATGATAAGTTCCTCTAATGCAACCATTTCTCCTGCACCCTTCGTCCTGAGGGGGGAGTGAACCCTACTCTTGTTATTTAATTAGCATCCACTTAGAGAAACGCAGTCTCTCTTTCACCTTCTCTTACACAACATTAGCACAGTCAGCGGGCAGAGGGGAAGTGTGTGTGTCACAGCCTCTGATCTGTTCATGCTGAATGGTATTGTCTGAGTCACTGCAGCAACCATCCAGAAACCATTTCGTGCTCTCTGGTCTCCAGGCAAATCGACAAGCAGCCTTTTCAGGACAATAACAGCATGCTCTGGACTGACCTTGGGCTTTGTTTACAATAATGGTCGACCAACAAAATACTTTTCACTGAAGAGAAGCTGAGAGCCCTGCAATAACCTGACAGGGAGAAAGGAAATGCTGTTTGCTTCACGTAAGGACCAGCGATACACTGATGTACTCTCAGCAAGCAGTGATTCCTGACCAGGGTTACTTGTACCCCTAGGGGGTACTTCAGCAGTTGCCAAGGGGTACAAAAAGATTGTGTAGTAACTCAACTAATGTGAAAAAATAGAAATTACAATTAACTTCATATATAAATACACACATATGTTTATATATTGCATGCCCTTAAGAAAATTATTTAATGAATATATGGAATGAATGAATGTTTTTTGTAACATAATTACAGTCGCTTTATATTCAGGCCCAGTTCTAAGAGGGTGAAAACTTGCATTGCGTTGAGTTTAATAATTTTGCACCCTTAATGCCAAGTGCAAGGTGATCTCATAGGCTGTATGGCGTCTCCATGCACACCTTCTAATTTGGTCCATGTATGTTCAGCAGCGCCACCTGCAAAAGGGCTGGGTGAAGGTGGATATAGATCATAGGTGGTGATTATTAAATACTGTGTCAAAATAAAGACTCTGATTTGTATTATTATAACCTATCTGACTGACGCTCTTTTAGTAATAATTATCATGTATCTCACCTCGTACATGGTCATATAGTTCAGTAATTAATGTTACACAACAGCGTTTGCATTGCAGTGTGTTTCACGGATAAAACATGAGATGCTAAGTTTGCCAAAACATAAAGTTGGATGAGGGTTTGATAAGTAACCGGATGTCTCCTTCATAAAAAGCAGAATATAGAGTTCCATCAGACCAGTCTGGTGTGAATAGAGCTCTGTATGGTTATATTGTAGCAGCCTGCTGTTGTTTTCAGGCGATTTAATGTGTACTGTTGTGCGTAAAGACACTGCGCTCTGGCGTGGCACAACTTAAAATATGTGGTGGGAAGGAAGGAAATGCTTTTTATACAATATAAAGCCGTTGTGGACAGCAGATACTGTAAGAATCACCCACATTCATTCATAGGTCAGTGACTGATTTACTGACTTCCTACTTTAACCACATTAAACCTTTTGCTGCTTCCTATGCATTGTGTTTGAACATACAGCTACACTACAGTAACAGCGTGAATTTTGGCCCGCATTCGCCGGGGTGTTAATTATCTCTTCATTAGTTAGGACTGCTTCTGATAGATTCCGTGTAGGCTCACTCAGTCCCACACTTCTTAGCAGTAACATCCTTAATTAATAATATTAGGCCGGTATCGAAAACACAAGATGGTGCAGTGCCTTGATCACGTGACATTTCATTCCATATATTCAGA